TGTTTGTGTCTATATCTGATCACCTTGGTGTTTGTTTGTGGGGGTAGGGTAATGATTTGCCTTGCACTTTATTTGTGATAGTCTCTATTACTGGGAAAAGTTTGCTAGCAGTTCAACTTCCTAAATCCTCGAGCCAGCAAGGCTATTTCCAGTACTGTCTGGGAGATTGTGGAAGTTGTAACCCAAAAAGGAGCTTTTCCCAGCTTCATATTGGTTCATTCCAGGGGACAGCCATAATTGTAAAGGACCAGCCCAGGATTTGCTTTGCTGTGTTTATCTCTCTCTCTCTCTCTTTCATACTCACAGGGCTTTTATAAATTTGAAGAGCAAAACAACAGGGCAGAGAGTGAATGCCAGACTCTGAATACACATTCCCGAGCATCCTGCATGCAGGTACAGAACGACAAAGGAAAAGAAGAAAATTCATTTTTCCAGTGTTTCCCTGTGGCTACAAAGAACAGAGGAATACTCTCAGGCCCATTTCAGACAGTAATTTGTTTAAGGTGTACAACTAAAAATGTAAAATGTGATATTTGAAATCAAGCAAGCCAGTCCAATCATAGAACTGGCTGAAAATTGCTCATGGACATATTTGAAATTTTTTGCTATTAGTGGTTAAACATCACTGTCTGAGATGTTCCTCTTTTAAGTTCATTTTTCAGTGTTGCAATTGTTGAGGGATTGTACAATGCAGAACCTTTTTAGAATGGTGTACTTCTTAGTGGTGTACTCCTGCTGGATACTTTGGAGTTGAAAACACAAGGGAATATACATAAAAGATCTGCTGTATGTGTACATTGACGCTGTTTTTCAGAAGTGAAACCTCTCCTGGGTAGGGTAATCAGATATTGACAAAGGTTGCAGTTTTTGTACACTTATTCAGGGGTAAATTACATTGAACACAATGGGGTTTAATTCTGAGTAATCATATACTGAATTGCACTGGTACGATGATTAAACTGCACTACTGCAGTCAAGTCTCTGCTTGCTACCTGAGTTTGATCCTAATGGATTCAGGTAGCTGGCTCAAGGCTGACTCAGCCTTCCAACCTTCCAAGGTTGGTAAAATGAGTACCCAATTCTCTGGGGACAAAGTGTTGTTTGCACAGTTATGCTGTAAAAAACACATAACATAAGAAGAGCCCTGCTGGATCAGGCCAAGGGCCCATCTAGTCCAGATTTCTGTATCTCACAGTGGCCCCACCAATTGCCTCTGGGAGCACACAAAACAACTAAGCACCTGTCTCCTCTGCATCTGGCATTTTGGAGTACCTTCCTTTTAAGCCTGGAGATAATACATCTCCATCAAGACTACTAACATGCAATAGACGTCTCCTTCAGGAATCTGTCCAATCTCCTTTTAAAGGCATCTAGGCCAGATGTCATCACCGCATCCTGTGGCAAGGAGTTCTACAGACTAACAACACGCTGGGTCAAGAAATATTTTCTTTGGTCTGTTCTCACTCTCCCAATACTCAATTTGAGTGGATGTCCCTCAGTGTAGAGTGGTATATAAGTCAAAACAACAATAACAACACTGTCAATTGGCCAAAAGCTCTGTGAACAGGTTTGTGTTCTTCCCGAAAGGAATGTTTGGATTATAACCCTGATAGTTAAAATATTTTTATTTTATGCCAAATTCAAATTTATCATCAAAATTGTCTCATCAAAATTTTTCTTTTCCCAATATATACATGGGATAGCCATAGAAGCCACTAGCTTTCTTGGGCTGTTGGGGGCATTGTTACGTTAACCTCGATAATTTCCCCCTAACTAACCTTGCAAATGGTGGTCTTGAGAAATCTATGGAGAATTTATGTGATTCCCCCACCCTGGGATTCCTAATCCTTGTGTTTTTGGGCTGCGAAGCTGTGGCAATTAAACACTATACACCTGTTGGCATCTATGGTGATAATGTGTACACAAGTCACTGAAAATCAAATAGCATCTGATCATA